CCCCAAAACCCCAAAACCCCAAAACCCCGTTAGAAATTAATCTTCGAATATTTTTATTTTTAAAGTTGAATTTTAAAATCAAAATTTAAATCAATAAGTTTTATAAGATAAAATTTGTTATTATCTCAACTGGAGCATTAAGTCTTCTTTTTACTCCTAAGTAATCCACTTTGAATAAGACTTTCTGCCATTTCAATTACAGCTTCACTAGCTGGTCTGTATTAAATGCCTAAAATGGTTTTAGATTTCTAGTTATCCATTTCAAATTCTAGACCCCAGAATGGTAAGAGAGTTTTAGCAGAAGCATCAAACCATGAGGCAAACTTGAGAGTGCAATATTTGATATCTGAAGTATTAATCTTAAATCCAGATGGGTATTTTTGGGCTAAAACTTGAGCCATTTCTTTGAACCACATACTTCTATCAGAAAGTATAAATCTATGATTTGCAGCTTCTTTTACTTATATAGCTCTTAGGTGAGCCAAAGCTACATCTCTAACATCCACTACTGGGAACATTACTTTTGGTGCTCCTGGAATATCTCCATTCATTATTTTTCTCACTACTATTCCTGAGGAAAAATCAGTTTGTACTAAAGCTGGTCCTTGAATAAAAGCAGGATTGATAACTACTAATTCAAATTTTTCTTAATCTGAAAGCTGAGAATGAAAATCCCATGCAGCTCTCTCTGCAAGTGTCTTGCTTTTATCATAGGGAGCACAGGAATTAGGATCAGACCAATCCTCCTCGTTGTACACTGGTTTTTTATTTGAAGGTTAAACACACATTGTCAATGAGCTTGAAGTAATGACGATTCTTTTTATCTTATGCTTGACACATGATCTTAGTATTGATAATGTACCCTCAACAGCAGGTCTAATCAACACATTCTCATCTTTTGGAACTATGGCTGGCAATGGTGATGCTGTGTGAACTACATAATCACAGCCTTATATTGCATTATCAAGTGATTCTGGGTTTAATAAATCAGCTTCAAACAATTCCAATTTGGAAAAGTTATTTTCTCCAAAAGCATGCTAAATTGGTTTCATCTTCCTCTCATCATTTTTATTCCTTACTGTACCCCTGACAGAGTAGTTTCCATCTTCTAAAAAGTATTTGCATACCTAGGATCCGAGGAATCCAGTTATACCTGTAATTAAGACCTTTGGTTTTGAGCTTTCCATCAAGATTTATTAATATATGTCCTACTTTTGAGCTTAAATAATTTAGTAATAGAACACGTAATTAAAAACAAGTTAATTGACGTGGATCTCAAATCTTTGACTTTAGTGTTTTAATTTCTTTTTATTTTTAACTATTCGATATTCATATATTTCCATAATCATTATGAATGGGGTTTTGGGGTTTTGGGG